GCGCAGAGATGAGGGGGCCCGTCGGCCGCCGGATACTGTGGAGGGAGCCGAGAATAAAAAAAAAAAACCCAGCAAACAGCCGCCTGAGTACATGGGCGCGCTGTCTCTGACACACACACTGGGGCGGTTTTCTGCAGCCTCCCCTACCAGAAAAAAGCCAGAGGAGGTGAAGGTAAGTTAAAAAATAAAATCATTATTGTTTGTAGCCCAATTGATGGCATTGCTGTATAACGTACAGCTGGCATTTGTAGTTCTATATAGCAGGTCCCATTCTGCATTGCAGCAATGCAGAATGGCACCCTCTATAGAGAACTACAAATCTCAGCTGTACTTTATACATCAATGCCATTTTGTACCCAAAAAAAATCTTGCACCAGGACCCTTTGTTCCCTAGATCCGCCACTGGTGGTAAACATAACAAAAAAACCTGCAGATTCTTCCAATGCAACTGATAATAGGCTTTCCCATCAATAACCTCTGAGGTTATGAACCAGAGAATATTACCTTGCAGAGGGGTCTGAACTACGATAGGCATAATCCCAATCAACTTCAACTGCAGCTATAAAGTGATCCCAGCTTTTAATAAATCTTGTTTGATAAACTTGTTTTCTGTGATCTTTACTGGTACATGTTTCAACATCTAAATAGGCCTGCATCCCAGCTGGAAAAAAAACAAAAAAAATACTTTTTTTAAATAAATTCTCACAATTCTCTGTAAAACTCCCGACACATGTTGTAATCTGATTGTACAATGTCCTTTAGATTTACAGGGTTCACTTTATGTAGCTGTTGCTAAATCTAGAGGAGATTGTGCAGCAAGTGCGCAATCAGATTGCAACATGTAGACAGCTTTTTTGTGTATTTCCACTTTTGCAGTCAAATTCAAGAAACCACCACTATATGTTTGGTATGTGGTCCCATTTCACACAGCATTCTGAAAAAATTACTTTTTAAAAATATATCTTACCTTTCAGATGTTTCTTTGGTGAAGGCCTTTGTGCAGATTCCAGGCTACTCTGAGCAGTTTGAAAGTGAAACTAGAGGATCAAACTGAGGGTCAAACTGAGCTTCCTCTCATTAACATAAAATGCTTTTAAGTCTTTAACCCTTTGTGAGGACAAACAGTGCTCAAATCTAGCTTACATCTGATAATGGGATCAACCAGCACAGGGCAGACAGGGTTAATTAGAGTTAACATAACTTCCCATAGCTCCCTCCTTCAGATTACATATGGGGAAGCTGAGTTCTAAAGGTGGCCATACACTTTACAACCCTTGCAAGACTTTTGCATCTTGGACAGGCAGATCGTACTTGCGATCATCGCATGACTGCAAACAGGAAGTGTGCGCACACCGTCCCGTTCGGCAGTTGTCGAACAAGCAGGCCACTGGTTTTCCAGCCTGCTTGTTCGACGAAGACGTGCGACCGCACAGAAGAAACGGTCGCACACCTTCCATACACTGCACGATTATCGTACGATCGCGGGATTTCCCGCGATTCTCGTACGAGAATCATGCAGTGTATGGGCACCTTAAGTTGCATTCCAAACAAGTTAAAAGCACTTAAAAATTAATGCAGCATTTTTTTATGCTCTGCAATGTGAATTGGAACATATAACAAATATGGTTGGTTACAAAAGTGGTCATACACTTTAAGATACATACAAATCATTAACAGAGTGTTCACCTTCTTAACCCCTTCATGACTGAGGTGGGGGGGGCGGCCCCTTCTTCGGGACGCAGAAGCGATCTGGCGACAGGTAAGTCGCCAGGATCGCTTCTGTTGTAAAGCCGACAGTCGGCTCTACAAGTTTAAACAGACTCCCGGCGGCAAAAGTCACCGGGAGTCTGTTTAAACAGCCCCGATGCTGGCGACGTACACTGTACGTCGTCAGTCACGAAGAGGTTAAAGGAAACAATTGTGTGTTTTCTAAGTGTCTACGCATAGAGATTAGCAAAGTTTTGAAAAAAACTATTCTGATTGCGCCTGGCCATATTCATCCCCAAGAACAAGGGTTCATAGTGTTAAAATGATTTATCGATTTATGTAAAAAAAAAATATCCCTATGAAGTTTTTATTATCCCTATCAAGTCATTTAGAAGAGTGTTGTAATGTGAATGTGATTTTAGTAAAGTTTATTTTGGTAGTGGGATTTTTTTTTTTATTGCTACTTTTGGGTACTTCTACTAAGGGCAATTCCCAGATATGAAAAAAGGTGTAAACAAATATTATTTCTCTTTTAAAAATAATGCCAAGGTAACACCAGCATCAACTGACCATGAGAACAGATGGTGGAGACCAAAACCTAGAACAATGGAGCTTTTAACATACCAATTCTCCCTTTACCTTCTATTTTGCTCTTTTCCCCTTTGCTGCTACACTTCTATTTTGCTCTTTTCCCCTTTGCTGCTTCCCCTTTGCTGCTACATTTAAAGGGTACTTGTGCCCAGACTATGGACATTAAACTATTTTCTTAACATGCAGTAAAAGAGCTTTAAAATAAGCCATACTATTATGGTACATGATAAATTGAATAATATCTTTAAAGATACTAGAGATAAATTTGAACGGGTTTGGGATCCGTGGATGCAATACCTGCACATTTCTCAGTCTCCTTAACCATGTTTTATTGTTATAATATCTCCTGATATTGCTACTATGAGCTCATTATGGAAAGATCAATTTTATTTTTGTTTGTATGTAAGTATCTGATATGTCTATTCTACCATGAAGGTCACTGTTAAACAGATACCTGACCGGTCTTGACTATATAACTACATTTGTCATATGAGATGCTTACTGTAATTTCTCTCTTTGTCCTGTCTAAAACTTTAATAAAAACTTTATGAAAGTAAAACAAGCCATACTTAATTTCTCTAGCTGATTTGAATGTGAAATTATTAATCCGCAAAGATCCTTAAAAGCCGGTTTCAGTAACAGTTAACAGCTGTCTAATAGCTTTGTGCTATGTGTTTACATTAGGTAGTTTGTAGTCTGCCATTAGATTACATTAGATAGTTTGCAGTCTGTTCTCATAGAATAAAAGCTAAGATTTAAGTGCCTCTGTTGTGAACTTTGAAAATTAGTTTATTTACCAAATTTATGAATACAGATACATGATGGTTTGTTTTTTTAAAAAGTGTGTTTACTGTTTATCCAGAATATGTAAATACTTTATTTTTCATGGGCACAGGTTCACTTTAACTATGGTAGACATAATCATATATAACTAATAAGATCATCCCATCAGTTTGATCAGAGACAACCCTTTATTTAACCACTTTAGCACTGCCGTACATATATGCCGTGGTCCTAAAGTTGCCTATACCTGCTGCAGCCGTGATCTTGGTATGATTTTCTTCAGCCAGAACCCAGCTTTCATGTACAACTAGCTATACAGGCCTGAAAGGGTGCCACCCCATCTGGGTGCCAAGTATCCTGGGCTACGCTGTCTCTAGTGTGGGCCCGGGACCAGCATGGCAGGTGGTGGTGGGTTGACCAGAGTGTGATTAGCACACATCCAGTATATTATTTCCCCTCCAGTGAATGAACCTGGAAGTGACAATGATTTTATAATTTCTGATTTTAGACTGTCATTGCACTGGCCGTTGGGGCCAGTGAAGAAGCTGGTGAAGCACAATCTGAGCTTCAGCAGCTTTAGTGGGGTCCATAGATGACATTAGGGGTCTAATAGACATAAAGAGGACCCATATCTTCCATTATGCTATCACATAGAGGGCTTGTTACATAATTATAAACTTCTAACCTTCAATGTGGTTTTTATTAAGGGATGATATTGTCAGTTTGCCACTTTGAGTGGCGGTCATGTTGGCTGAAGTGGATGCAGAACTAGCAAGGCTTATGACAGAAACTCTGTGATGATCCTCGTTCAAGGTTTGGCCAAAGAAATGAACCGAGAAGATTTCAGGTTTGGAGCTCATGCCTAATAGATGCCAATTGATTTTGTCGTCAGCACAGGCTTTGAAATCTGAAAAAAAAAGGAGAGTTTTATAGATGATTAACAAGTACATAGAAAAAAACATATTGGACCAGTAAATATAACTACATTATATAACTGCATTTAAGAAAAATGTTTGAATTGTGGTTCTTTGGGCTAGAGATGCTCCAGCATATTAGAATAGTCCATTATGATATTAGTAAAATTATTGGTATTTCTAATAAAGCTTTAAGGGGGTATTAGGACAACATGTTGTGACACTTGGATCTCTCTCAGGAGTCGTGGCCTGCAGAATGCATATTTCCATACTAGGCTGATTTCCAAAATATTCTGCAATTTATTAATCAGGATATCATTACAGAGTGGCAGAGTGTCCATACGCAGCACTTGAATAACAAACCCATATGTATGTTGTTTTTGACAACTGCCAAATAACAAGTGTCTAATAAAAGGTCCTTATGACAGCATGGTGCTGGTCCATATTCTACTTCTTGGTATTGATTTTTTTTTTTAAATAAAAAGCCACATCAGTAATGATAATGTATTTTTTTGTATTGGATAGAGTAGGGAGGGGTTAAAACCTCTGCCAGTTTACGTTTGCTGTCTGTGTAATACTGAGGAAATTTCCCATCACTTCCTGTCCCAGAAAAGCAACAGGAAGTTAGCGTTATCTTCCAAAGTGAGGGGAATTACCCTCTTTGGCAGTTGTCCCCAGAAATGGTGTCCCCTTTAGAAGATTTCATCCTTACCTCTAGTTCTGGAGACAGCTCTAACATGTTGTATTTTCCTTTCGTTCTTAGTAACAATGGTCACCACTACAAATAGTGTTCAGTATTCCCATTAGGGAGGATGAGAGATAGGTTGACAGAGGATCTAAGCCTTCCCCACACTATTCAAAACGTACAGGGTTATTTATAAGAGGGTGAAGAGTTTGGAGAAGGCAGGATAAGTGAACAATCTAGGCCAAAATAGCTAATTTGGGAAAATTCTCCAATTCAGATCACTTTCCGGTTAAGCTATGTTGTCCTAGATTGTTCACTTCTCCTGCCTTCTCCAAACTCTTCACCCTTTTGTGAATTACCCTGTAAATGTTTGTGTCTAGCGATACACTAGACAATTTACCGTAGAGACCTAGGAGACAAATGCAGCTCCCCCCACTATTTGTGAGGCTACCTGCAAAAATCATTCTCATTTGTTGGCATTATATTAATATCCATATTAAACAAATATATTTATTATAGGTATTTATATATCACCAAAAATGTATGCAGAGCTTTAAATACTGCACATTCATCCCTACCTTCAAGGAGCTTACAATCTGAGGTCCCTATCGCACACACATACAGCACTAATTTACTTTCCAGCATGTCTTTGGAGTGTGGGAGGAAACCCACACAAGCACAGGGTGAACATTGAAACTCCATGCAGAGAGTGTTTTGACTGGGATTCAAACCAGGGTTTTGCAAGGCAAAACTACTAAACCACTATTCTGCCCCACATCATGAACAGCTTAAAAAAAACTCAGGTGATATTCAATGCCAAGTGGTGGAAAGCACAAATTCATACCTGGCCCAGTACCCTTTGCATAGCCATTAATTGTGTACATTACTGGCCTCTCTTTCGTTGATGGAATTGCCTGCCAGCTTTTACTTTCATCAAATACCGCAAACAACAGAACAAACTCTTTGTTAAAGTTTTTTGGAGTTCCATCTTCCTTGAGACTTCCTAAGAGCAGAGGAAAGACATAACATCACAAATCAGTTGTATGTAATATATATACATCAACAAAGCACAAATATCAAGCTGTACTTCTGATGGTCCACACCTTCAAACAAGTGGATGCTCGAAGTGATAGCAATGGATAGTGCCATGGCAAGACCAGATGGAAGAATGCGAAATCACCAGCATTCCAAATAAATATGTATCACAGATTTATTGTGAAGACAGCATCACAGAAGTCAAAAGACTAGTCAAGAGCATACCTACGAACTGACATATACAGGAGATGAGGAGGGGCGAAAGGGTTATAAATGATCCGCAGCTGCTGCTGCTTGGTGTCATGAGGATCAAATTAATAAATTAATGATTAATTTATGCAACAGTTCTTATTTCCCCCCCTTCTTCCATTGTAAAAGCAAGTGTAGGATTAAGCTGTGCAAACATTGCCATGTGATAGCTGTGATGACCAATTGTCCAGGGAGGACGTACAGTTAAGGGACGTGCGATCAGGGGAGGCAGAGCCTCACCTAGTATTGTGAAGAAAAAAGGTGTTAGCTTTAAGTCTTAAGCTGACAGCTTTTTCTCCATTCAGATTGGCTTGTTACAGGTTACACAGCAGGGAAAGCCTCCCCGCTGTGTAACCTGCCATGGACGGAGCGCTGCGTGTTAATTACAGGCAGCACTGCATCCGGCTTTTGACAAGTAGGTTACATGGCAGCAGGCTTCCCCACTGCTTGTGTAACCTAACTTGGTGAGGCAAGAGCTGTCACAGCCTCTACTCTGTTTTAGAGGCGTGAGCTCTGTGGATGGCTTGGTCCAAGCTGTCCAATAAAAAAAAAAGAATCAGTGAGGACATCGATCTCGATGCCTCACCAGTGATGAGCAAGTGAGGGGCAGGGAGGCTCCTCCTTGTGTCCTCCCTTCCTCCCCCCACCCCACACAGATCGGTTACCAAGTTGGGGCGGGGCTTCGGCAGGATGGATGGGGTTTTGACAGGTCGGAGGCGGAGCTTCGGGAGGCTGGGGGATGCCTCACCCAGCACAGAAGGCACGGCACGTCACTGGTACAGGTGCGTCCACATGCAATAACCGTGCGGCCTACAGGCCGTAGTTTTGCAATGGCTGGTGGGGAAATGGTTAGACTGGAGATCTCAATGATTGATTGATTCATTGAATGATGCACTTTCCCATCCACAACATTAAGCTTATTGTTTCTGTTTGCTTTTTTACTGTTGCAGTTGTTAAAATGTACAGTATATGCCCAGCATACCATAGAAAAAAGCAGTTTATGAAGGTTGTAGGAAAAGTAGTTAGTTTTAAAAATTATTGTTAGCTTTTGTTTTATTTTACCATGCACTTAAATGTGACAACAGGATGCTAATTTGGGTAACATCTCCATTATTTTCCCTCCCCTATTTTATATAACAATTCCCCATGATTTAACCCCTTTACAAGATACCAGGTAAGTAACAAAGTACTGATCTAATGAAATTATCTGTGTTTAATCGTACTAGTTATATAAAATACGACTTTTTACATACATGGCTTTTAATGGACTTTATTCAGCCTGTAATAAGGCAAAGGCTGGTAAAGAAGAAACGTTATTATTTTGGAAACTCAGTTACCTGTTTTACATATCAGCAATGCACCAATTAACCCAGAGTTCACATCTTGCACCATGTTCTCTGCAGAATAGTAGATATTGGTAAGACAATCAGGGTCATCTTCTTTTGGTCCCATGTTTTCTGTGATGTCCCAGCTATAGGTATATGTTTGGCCTGGTAACACTGAATCATCAAATTTTTCCAGCAAGGAGGTGCCATCAGCATATTTTACCCCTAAAAAGAAACAATTTCCAAATGATTTGTCTGTAAGGAATGTGACATTCACAACATAACATTGTGATGTTTGTGATTTTGTGAGTACCACCCACAGAGCATTGCTCTAGTTCAGCCTTGGATAACATGGTTGGTTACTGAAACTGGTAATTCAGTCGCTAGCTCCAAATGTAGCAAAAAGTAATTTACTTAGCGATTAAGATGCTAATCTCTTGGAATTTCTGTGACTCAGAGCTTTCATTATTTGCAATTTTTTTTTCTTAGCAACAAAAAAAGCTAAGAAAACCAAATTGCTGCTACAAAATAGTGAGTGTGATGTGACCGTGTTTTATGTTATGCCTATATTCAGGGCTGGTTCACACACATCCCGAGCCAGCTTCCTGCGTTTAGGGGGTGCATGCTGCATGCACTATTTTTTCAGATCACACTGGACTGGAACGCAGGCACTGATGTGCCACACTTTCTGGTGCAATCGATCACACTGCTATTAACTTCAACGCACTGCCACCCCTGAATGCAGGAAGCTGGCCAGGATGCGCTCCAGTGTGTTCCAGCAGCGAATCGTGCTGGAATGCACTGGCCATCATGGTGTAACATGAAACATGGTCACATTGCAACCCCACCACCATCCCCCCCCCCCCACTTACCTGAATTGTGGGGTTCTTTTCCCTGAAGACTGCTGCTAATTTTTGTAAATGGTACAGCTGTGCGTGGCTCAGTCCACACGTTAGGAATATCCCATCCCATTTGTGAGTGATATCACATTCAAGAAGTTCCAGTGGGTGATGTAGTGACCAGCAGATGGTGCTGCATAGAACAATGAAGACAGTAAAGTCACCAGCACACCAAAGTCCCCCTTACTGATGTCTTTATTGACATCAGCTAAACATGGTATCACAAGGAAACACAATGTTTAGGAACCACATGCAGTTACTACATCACAAAATGTGATGTGATGCAAACCACACGTGGTTCCGAAATGTTGTGTTTCCTTGTGATACCATGTTTATCCGATGTCAATATAGATGGATTGATAAAGTGGTGTGCTGGTGACATTACGGTCTTTATTGCTTAGTCCACACAGCTGCATCATCCATTCACAGTTCCTTTGACAGGATCTGCGAATATAAAAACGACATGTTCCATCAGCCATCGAGGCAGAGTGACTTGTGGTTCTCAATGGAATACAAGTGCAGTGACCTCACCACATTTGTAGTCCATTCATACTTCCTGTTGAATTAACTAGAGCAGAATGTAATCATCTGCTATAAAGTGTATGCAAATACAGAAATACAATACCGTAGAAGCAAAAACAAAATATTACAAAAGAAATCAAACCTTACTGCACTATAAGTCTGGTAAGAATGACATACCGTAGTAAAAATAAGACGTTTACCTTCAGAAAGTTTCCCGTATGTAATTCCTTGCGGGTGAATAGTAAGAGGTTTTGTAGCCATATTCCTAAAGTGAACTTTTAAAGTATCCCCAACCTCAGCACGCAGAGTTGGTCCTAAAATACCTAAAGGGAAACACATAGAAAATAAATGTTTTCAGTAGAATTTATGTTGGATATTGGCCTCCTACCTGCAATCTGTTATACCTCTCTAACAGCCATTTGTTGGAGTACCACTCCCTTACAATTTATAGTTGTGCCAACTGTAGAGGCAAAGTCAATCCAAAACTGGATATTATAATCTACCCAGACTGGTAATATCCAACCAAGACTGTTCACTTTTATGTTGGAAAATTGGGGCCGCGCAGCCCCAATTTTATGCTTTTCTGCTTATTTCTGAGGATATTTGCTTAGCGCTTAGATGCTTGCTTAGTAAAAATATTTTTTATTGAAGAATGTAGGTAGCATTTAGCACAAAATACAATAAAAAGGAATAGGAGTTTTGTATAAAATAAGGATAACAGTATTACATGAAAAGACATTCGTGGATGGTAGGTGGTTTACCTCTCAAGGAGCGCCAGGGGCCCCCTTATTTATAGGCAGATAAACTGCCTTATTTAATAAGAAGTTCATATTCTTAAGTGCTAATTTAAACGTTCAGTAAACCATTGCAAACAATTATAATTCACTCTGCTGAAATGGAACCAGTATAAGACAGATTCTAACTGCTTGCTATTGCTTGCTGCACCTAAAGCCCAACTGAACTTTCAGCTTAATACATTCCAGGGGCATCAAAACAAAAGATGTGCAAAGTCTTCATTTCATTTTATTCACCAAGCAGCCACAGCCCAATCAGAAGAGACTGTGCCCTGCCAAAATGTTGTAGGGAGGGACCCTTTCCTTCCATTTGGAAGCAGTGGTCTCTCTGCAGAAGTCTGATGAGTTGGAGTTTTCCAATGACCAGGAAGACTATGTGGCTGCTTTCTACAACAACAAAAAAAAACTGGAAGACTTTGAACACATTTTGTTTTGATGCACCTGAAACTTATTTCAGGTAGCTTAACTGGGATTTACAAATTAGCATTTAAGAATGCAAACTCTTCTTTAACCGCTTGCTGACCAGGTGTTCACACCCCCTTCCTAGCCAGGCCATTTTTCAGTATTCAGCGCTGCGGTACTTTGACTGATGTTTATTCCGTCATGCAACGCTGTACTGAAATTAATTTTATACCATTTTTTGGGGACACATAAAGCTTTCTTTTGGCGGTATTTAATCACCACTGGGAGTTTTATTTTTTACTATATTTAGGAAAAATTTATGAAATTTCTTTTTACATTATATGTAACATGTGCGGCGTAATGGGCGCAATCGTCCTTTTCGCAGGTATGTTTGCATGCGTGTATGTATGGGTGGGGACTTTTTTTTCAATTTTTTTTTTTCAATTCTTTTTTATGTGTAACTTAAAAATTTTTTTTGGGAAACTTTATTTTTTTCCCCACTTAACTTTATTGCTATCATATAGGGGGCTAAGAAACGACCCTATGTGATAGCAAAAGATGTGACAGGTCCTCTTTATGGAGACATCAGGGGTCTCCAAGACCCCCCTTAAGAAGCTGATGAAGCAGAGACCTGCTTCATCAGCTTCTCTCCAGCGTCTGAAGCTGGAGAGTGACACAAGAATGCGGAAGTGATGTGATATACATCACTTCCGCATTCTGACACCGGAGGGAGATCGTGTATCGACCTCCCTCTGATCCCGGGCTCACACGGGGCACAGCAGAGCCCGGGACCATGACACGGGCCAACCGCCCATACAAGCGATGCGCCGGCTCTATAGCCTGTTTTTAAATTTTGTGTTTTTCCCGCTTGCGCCGCACGGCGCGCACGAGTGGGCGGGGCTAGCAGGCTGTATATACACGGCCTGTTACATCCAGGAAGCTCCCGGCCGGCCGTTTTTTTTACAACGGCCGGGCAGCGGTTAAATAACGTTGCAAGTCTTTTACAGTACAGGACTTTCAACTATAAAAGCAAATGTCCCTTCCCTTTTGTCACATTAGTTGTATTTTGTGAAGCAGACCACAAAACTAATACAAACAATGTAATTTTGACTAGAATGGAATTTTCCCGCTATTGATGTTGAATAAAGGATTGCTAGAACTTCCCCTTTTAATAAAACAACGTCCTTACTAACGTAATTACCCCTGACCACGATATATATAAGAGCTTGTAATTAAAAGTCTCATGCCTATCAGGCTTTGAATGTAAGGTCATCACCAGAAGCAAATACTTTAGCAGCAGGGGTTCTCGGATAAGAGCGGTGTTGGGATTTGAGCAGCAGGAAATGCAATTATAAAAGATTGTGCGTTGACCTAAAAAAGTGCAAAATAAGATCTGCCAGCAGTAAGTAACAGTAAAAATAAAGCTAAATTCAGCTTTCATAACAGGTTATAACAATTCTAGGTCATAGTTAAGAGTTTACTGAAACAATGAAAAACAACAGAGATTAAAGTGACAAAAAAGTAATTAGTAAAATGAAGTGAACATATGCATCATATATGTGATATGACATAAAATGAGACAGCCTGAGGCATTTGCCTTAGGCAGCAATCTCAATGGCTCACGTTGGGGGACAGCAGGTGTGCCTGCCGCACCCTTTCTGGCCAGAGCATCCCAGGTTGCTCAGAGCTCTTAGTAACCTGTGTCGCTCTGGGCAGCCTGCCACCCAGGTCACTGACTGCCAAGAGCTGAGTGGGAAACTCTGGCTAGTGTCCCGTCCAGTTTGTGGCAACTATTGATATCAGTGAGCTGGGCAGAAAACCGTGCACCACAAATCTCTCCAGTCCCGCTCCACAGCCTGGAACATCTGGAACAAGAGTAACTAACTCCCCACCCAGCACCCCCCACCCAGCCAAAGGCAGTAAGACGACTAGGGACACCCTGTTAATAGAGCATGGTTGATCAGAAAAACGGGTGGAGCCTGCAGAACAGCACTGAGTATGAAAGGTTGTCGTTACTCATATGCAGCTAGGCTAGCATGACACCAAACATGGATCTATAAAGGACTATGTCTAAGTATCCCAAAGTATTATGCTGTGTGTGTTTTTTTACCTTTAGGTAAGAGATATTACAGCATGGGGTCAGTGGTACAATCATGTAATCCACTCAATGAATTCAATGTAGTGAAGGTGAATTCAGAAAATGTTTGTGCTAAACTCAAGATCAATCATTTAAACCAACTGAGATCACGTAAGATGTGATTATTATACTTTATATCTGAATTTAAATGGTTAGGGTATAAATTGTCTTTATTCAACCTCAAATACTATGTAACTATGTAACTGAGGGAATAATTAAGATCCTTGCATCTAATACTGTATTGATTTTACATCTTGTATCCAAAACTCTGCTGGTCAACCAACGAACACCCGGTCCTCTTCAAATTTAAATGAAATAGAACAACTCATGATTTAGAAAAGGAAGACATTTGGTCAAAAATTAAAAGGACATTTCCAGGGCTAAAATGTTCCAGGGACTGATCTTCAAAAACCTGAGACCAGGAGTCATAGATAATTGACAGTTATAACTCTGCTGTCTTTCCTCTCCTAAAGGGCTTGGAATGAGATATACTTTAGAATTTAAAGGTTTTCAAAGAGTACGCTAAGCAAGCATTTATATTACACATCTACAGAGGCCATATGAGTTTTGAGCAGAATTGAGATTAAAAGCACTTCATGCTTTATGGTATCCAAAGACATGAAATTACAGTATTTCGGACAGCCGGTTCTTATCCAGACCAAGTACCAATTTCAGGTCTATGGACCCTCCTATGCCCACTCACTCTTCAAATGGAAACAATTGGTTGTGCAGTTTAAGAAATGTATTCCTATCATCACTGGATTACACACAGGACTACTTCTTGCCCTTCGGTGAGCACTCAGTAAAACATTTACAGACATCAGTGCCTGAATGTGGTTGGATTATTAATGTGTTGCCAATTGCCCGTTAATGTCTACAAACTGTATTCTAGAGACCAAACTTTTTTTGAGTTGGTAAGGGTTTTTAGTTTGTGTGTGCCATTGTGGAATTTCTCTTTACTTCCTGTCTTGAAGGCACAGCAGAAAGTGAGAGGAAATCTCTCCAAGGTGAAGGAATTCCCCTCCTAGCCACCACAAGTACCCGCATTGGAAGATCCATTATTGTTCAAGTGACAACTCAAAATTTGTTATTTCATCGTACTTTCATTCCACGTTACAGTGGTCACCAGGACAAATAGAGAGAGTGAATCTCCTGAGCAAGGACACAGCCATCAAAACATAAATCTGACAGCTTTGATAACCTTTGACTACTCTATCCAAACCTAGAAAAAAAAAGTTTGCATACACTTGCTTACATACACTTTTGAGTTACTGTTTGCTGACTACTGTTTAAACACACAAAGGTGTGTTTGTATTATGTCCACTTAAACTTTGCTAAAGCATACGAGATAAAAAAAGAACCTTCCAGTGAACTTTCGTGGTCCAGCCAAATGCTGAAAATTCTTTAAAATGTTTTTTTCACAAGTAGGTCTTTATTGTTTTACAAAAGTATCAAGTTGACTGCAGGGAGGCGATACGGGTTTTGCATCTTTTGTGCAGGAGGCCTTGAATACGGATAAACTCGCCTCTCAGAACACATTTGTGGGCCTCCCAGAGCATCAGCGGTGTTGAGCATGTCTCATTGTTTAGAGAAAAATATTCTGAAATTTTATTTCGGATTTGGGTAACATTGTCAAGCTCGCCCAACGTGGAGGGGTTTAGCCTCCACGCTCGGGAGGATCCCGAATACATGGGAAATCTGATGGTCATTGATTTCGGGGCGTGGTCCGAGAGGACTATAGGTTTGATCGAGGCTCCTATTAGATTGGGAAGGTCTCTTTGTGTGAGAAACAGAAAGTCTATTCTTGAGTAGCTTAAATGCGGGTAAGAGTAAAAGGTGAAGTCCTTTACCGTGGGGTGGAGAAACCTCCATGTATCGTGAAGATGAAGAGTGGCAAGGGATTTTTTGATCAATCGTAGATTTCGGAATGGGATTGAGGACTTGCCTTTAGAGGAGTCTAGCAAAGGATTTAGGGGCATGTTGAAGTCCCCTCCCACAATCAACATCCCTTCCGCAAAGTCCCGTAGTAGGGAACACGTTTTCCGGAAGAAGCGGACCTGACCTTTGTTAGGGCAATAAAGGTTGGCGATAGTAGTTGGTGTATTGTGGAGCTTACCTTTAAGGAATATGTATCTGCCATCTGGGTCAAGTAGTTGATCCGTCAATTGGAAGCTGGCCTGGGAGGAGAAGAGAACAGATACCCCTTTTGATTTGGAGAGTGCATTGGTAGCATGGTATACTAAGGGGTATTTACGGGTGGCGAGTTTAGGAATGGCATCAGATCGGAAATGTGTTTCTTGCAATAGAATGACCTGGGCCCTATGGTGTGTGAATGATTGGAGAAATTGGGATCTTTTTTCGGGCAGATTGAGGCCTTTGGCATTGATGGACACAACCTTGCAGGTGACTGGCACCACCCCAGTGGGGGGAGTGTTGTCGGGCATGATAGCCCTCGTTGGAACAGAGGAGTGTGTGTGTGATGAGGAATCAGGGGCTCTTTAAAATGTTTTTAAAAAAGGATCTTACCTGAGAGTTTTGAGGAACGTTTTGATGCAATAAAGCCTTTTTCATACTCCTTGTAAACTATCTTCTTAAACACGTTATCGGAACTGCGTGAAACAGAAAAGATTTAGATGGATAAGTTATTGGCTATCTAATGGAAAACATGCATTTTAAATCAACAGTTCAATTACTTGGTTACAGTTACGTACATTTGTAAGGAGAACTCCAGAAAAAACTGGTTGGGGGTGGAAACATGCCACCAAGCTCACTGGCGTTACTGGTTGCCTGGAGCTTGGTGGGATCCCAGCCGTCCCGCTCAGCTCCTGGCAACCGGTGACGTCAGTGAGCCGGGTAGGACGCTGGACAGACCGTCACAGGATGCTAAGAGCACTTACAGTGTCCATAGACTCTGCGATTTCCGTTTGGAAATCGTACACGAATGATCTTTTGAACAAAAATTGAACAGTTGATGGTACATCACTGATTTTTGTTTTTTATATTGAAATTTTTCATTTGGTTATTCAATTTTTTTTTCGTACCAAACAAAAATATATGAATCAGGGGGGTTTTCGTTCGTCAAAAATCTCTGCAAGAACACAGCACATGCGCAAAAGGAAACTATTTCCGTTGTTTGGCAAAAATTGGTTATTATGGCTAACAAACAATTTCCGAAATCGACATGCTTAATGTAGGTATAATCAAACGAGGGTTCGTGCCAGAAAAGAAACATTTCAAATGAAAATCGTACAATGTATGGCCATCTTTAGCAACCTGGGACACTGTGGCTGCCAATCTGCAGTGTTTCTCGCCACACACCTGCCACCTAATGGGTTGCTGCCTGAAGCAACTGCTTCAGCCTGCCTCATTATACAGTATGTGGAGTAAAAATCAATTTTCATATGTCTGTATTTAGTTTATGGATGTACTGATTGCAAGAAAAAAAAATAATGTGGCTGCCAGAAAATAAACTCCCCATTACGTAAAATGCAGCTCCACACAGTAGGTAATCCTCCCCTATTAACAATTAAATATGTACAGTGCCCATAGACATGCTGTAGTAACTACTGACCTTCAAATGGTTCTTTCTTAGAATGATCATTCCATGGTCTGCACCATGCAATCACTATGGCTCCAGCCCAGTGGTGTATCCAGGGTATGGCACATGCCCTTGGGGCCAATTGAAGGGGGAGGAGTGCCGCTCTGTGAGTCAGCGAAAGTTTATTGACCCACGTAGACAGCTGATTTTTTTCTCTCCCCACCCCTCTCCCATACACCTCTCCCCACCTGGCTCTTAGCAGCCGGGGGACGATCTGGCCAACATCCCGCCCAGCTCCTGGCCACCAGTGACGTCAGAAGCTTGGCGGAACGCCAGGGGTGCAGTTTTTTGTAGATTTGCCACTGCTCCACCCTTATCTTAGGAGCCACAGCAATCTGCTGGAAATAGCCTGAGCGAAGAGGTATCTTCATATAGATCGAAGAGTACCCATAGACAAGTGACTATCTAATGACCTGGCCAAAACTGGCTGGATTGTGTGGTGACCCACATATTCCACACAGATCCCGTTACAACCAAGAGAAAAAAAAAAGGATATACGTGACCTGAAACCTGTAATTATTACTAGTTCCATTATAAAATCCAGTTACACCAATAACCATGAATAAGTATAACTGTACATATATAATTTTATTCACATGGAACTCCCCTGCAGTTTGCCCTGAGATCTGTTGCTAGCTCTGCAACAAGCTGTATACTGTACTATACGGTGGTAGATACACACAGTATTCACATATGGCATAAATGGTAAAATCAGTCATATGTCCAATTACATAAGGGACGGATGGAAGAAAAGTGTACTATAGAAAAAATCTTTTGTGGCCAATAGCAAACAACTTCCTCCAAATGTCTCTTTGCAGCCCAATGAAAAATGAAATAAGGATTATGACTGGTCTCCATCTACTGAATCTGATAGAGACAGTTCCTGTGGAAAGTTTTTCCTATTTACAGATCTTGTAGTACCCTGGTGCCCAACATGCGGCCTGCTGCCTCTGGTTGACTCACATACTGAGAAGAAAACCCTGTATCCTGCCAGCATACTGCAGGAAAGGACTCTTGTTCTCTATTTGAAAGCAGTGGTCTCAGACATGACCCTCTGCTATGTCAAAGCTAATACTCTTTAAATCAGCAGGGAGCATGAACCTTGCTAATTGCAGATTTCTAGGTCGGAATCAGAAGGGGGCATGTTAGATCTCTACAGAGAGACCACTGCTTCCACATAGAGAGCAGGAGATCTTCTTTGCAGCATGCTGGCAGGGATACGTTTTATTTCTGCACCTCGGGTGTATTTAGCTGATTTAAACAGAAAGTTCAATTGGGCTTTAAACACTACATGCCAGCTTCTAAACATTGGCTTATTACTAAAACTGGTCCAGTAATATATGGATGAATGAATTTTGTTGCTGCACACAAAATTAAAGCACCATTAATCTTTGCATTAGCCTACTTGAAGGGCATAGATTCAACTGCTTGAAGTAAAACACAAACCCTTACACAGTTTGACTTTGTTTTTCATAATGACTGTTCTCTGCCAAAATAATTTGTGCAGCACATTCCGCATCATTGTACATAGTAACATTTTAATGTCGTTTCAGGGACATGGTGACTAGAAGTTTATCAAACGTATTATTCTTTCAGAGGACACTGCAATACTAACTGGAACAAAAACTTTATTCTGACTCCAGTTGTTGAATTAGTGATTTATCCCTTCCTGAGACCTCTATGACTGGCCTGTATAATCAGATACAATCACCATTAGTTAACTGAAGTTACTAAATATTTTTTCATGCATGATAATCTTTATTGAAAGCAGCAGGTTACTGACAGACAATGGTAGATGCTGAATTGCAAGAATTGAAGGCAGTCAAAACGAATATTCTATCGCTAGCCCCAGAAGCACATGTGGTCTAAAGATGGCTGACTCTTACACTGAGGGAAGGGGGTATTACATCATACAAACAGGAAAGAGGGTGTAATACACAAAGTAACCACAAGATGACAGCATAACAAATATTAACTTGCAACAAACACAACGATAGCAATGCAAATGCATTAATATACAACTGTTGGAGGCAGCACATACTTGTGCGCACAAACATTTGTACAGAGCTCTCAATAAACAGAGGTCCTTCAGGGACTTTTATTTACTTGGTGTAAATTGCACAGTAAAGCACACACCTGGTTCCGTCGCTGTGCAGAAAACAATACAACTAGCTTTGAAACAAAAGATCTCTTGGGGGGGAGAGAGGGGGCAGACAGATCAGTCCATCCAGACACTCAACACAGGGAACATATTGGCTGCCTTCAATTTGTCACAGGAATGTTGCAGTTTCTGTGGCCTATAAACTAATATCTGTGCTAGGGATGCACCAATACCATTTTTTCTAGACCACGTACGAGTACCAATACTTTTCCTCAAGTACTCTCTGATACCAATTACCAATATCTTTTTTTTACTGTCATGTGACAGTTTTTCTAAAACAATACAGACTAATGATTTTACAACAGTGGTGGAGCACCAGGACCCGGTCACAGCTGTAGAGGACTACAAATTCCAGCAATACATTATACAGCAATACAGAATAATACCATCAGCTATAGGGGACTACAAATCCCAGCAATACATTATACAGGAATGCAGAATACTACCATTAGCTATAGAATACTACAAATCCCAGCAATACCTTATACAGCAATGCAGAATAATAGATGAATTTGCTACATATTCTGTGCTGCTGCTCCGGGGTGCCGGTTTGATGTCTCAGGCAGAGGGTCTCATGAGGGGGAGACGTGTGGAGGGGCTCCGGAGGGGGAGATGTACGGAGTGTATCATGAGGGGGAGATGCGTGGTACAGCGTAAGCACTATAAACAGGCGCCGTGTGATTCCCAAGAAGGCTGCCGCGAGGTCCCTAGCAATGGTGAGACCTAAGGCATCCACTTCAATCTGAAAAATTAAAGTGCCGATATCGGTTTCTGGTATTGGGGCATTTTCATGAGTACAAGTACTTCTGAAAATACCCAGCATCAGCACCAATACTGGTATCAGTATCGGTGCATCCCTAATCTGTGCTATAATTTAGTGCAGATATTAGCCACACACCAGGCTGACTTCCTCTGATAAGTCTGTACAGACAGTTTACAGAGGGAAACTGAGACAGGAGATGCTACCATCGCCCTCCCTTCACTTAGCTGAGCAGAGGGGAGAAGGCAGCTTCTCACGGCATAGTCTCTATAGAGGCACTTTTCAGAGGCAATCAGCCCGACGTGCAGATCTAGATAATTTAGTGCTGATATTAGTCACTAAATGATGGGCAGATATCAGTTTATAGGTCACATTACGTGTGGTATGCTCATGGCAGAACACAATTTCCATTTTCTGGCACACATCACAAATCTTCTATAGGCACACTATGTTGTTTGCTCGGCACATGTCCTGTGCACATGACATACGACACATGAGAAATAGTTTATCAGGCCCTCTGTGTTTTAGATGATGTACCAATAATTCCTATAGAACCTGTTCTTTACCAAAACTACAGGTTAAAGTGTATGTATATTCAAAACGTTTTTTGTTTGTTCTAGATAGACCAAGGAAGGGTTAAAAAACCCTGTCAGTTTCTTTGGGTTTTTTTGCTGTCTGTGTCCCTTTTAGGAGATTTCTCTTCACTTCCTGTTCAGGGGACTCAACAGGAAGTGAAAGGAGATCTCTAGAATCTAAGGCAAATTCCCTTCTAAGACAGTTGTCACCAGAACTGGAGTCTCCACTGCATGATTTACCCACAGCTCTTGTTCTGGTGACAACACTAACATTTTCCCATCGCTCTCTCAGTGACAGTGACCACCAATAGAAATAAGGATGGGGGTCTTTCCATATCCTAATTAAAACTTATAAATACAAAGGTTTGGCTATATGTACACTTTAACTGCAACAAACAATATTTTCTGAAAGTGCACAAACATATAAACCGTACCCCTGACAAGAAAAGTACATTACCAATCCTCTCTTAGTGTAGTGCTGAGGTGCACTATGGCGTGCTAAAATGACTATGAGGCTGAGTTATGAATCTTCCCCCAGTCTTAAGCGGCAAATGCGGCATTCTTGGCACTAGATGGAGACAAAGAACATAGGAATTCCTATTATACTCCTCAGCTCCATCTAGTGGTGAGAATGCCATGTGAACAGCATTCGCCCAGCATATGTCTGGGAGGAAGATTTATGACAGCCTCATAGCGTAAATAATTCTGAAATAGAAATACTTGCAGACAAATGTGGGAACCAAATTCCTAATACAGGAATTAGGCTATGATCACACTATGCATGAATGTGCGATTTGGATTCCTGCCGCAGGGATCCCAAATATTCCACTTAGATGCTGGCTATTTGATTTTGATCACTGTTGCTGGGTGCAGGATAGATGCATCCAGGGACAGTGATCTGTTCCAAACCGCATGTAATCATATCATATATAGATTCTGGCTGCAGGAATCCCAAATGCATGGTGTGAAAGGAGTCTGAAAGGAGTCTGAAACATTATCCAACTGCAAGAAGTGCAATGTCTGACAAAAGGGGTATTTGTAAGTACTGACAGCTTGTTCAAATTTTGGTATGTTCCACATTTTAGGGTCAATGCATCAACATTTAAAAAAAAGTTGTTGCCAATAGAATCTGATGTTCACCTTTCATGTTATCATGTAATGGAACAATTAAAGAAGAACTGCAGGGAAAAGTTTTAATAACCCTTGCAGAGGGGCCACCCCCGCACTGCAAGGGCTAACTCCCTTTTTTTATTAATATTAAATTAATTAATTTTTATAAATTACTTTTTTTGTAAATTCCAAAATTTAACACCAATTTTATTCAAAATCTGCAGGAATGTATCATCGTTTCCTTTTGTCTTGTAAAGGGCTGCATTATTATTTTGTGCAAAATTACCCTGGGTGTCCAAGATACAAAAATTTTGAATACATCCCAAATTTGAGGAATAATTTTCACTTAGCAGCCAAGAAAATAAACATTTTAACAAATCAGCGACATTTACAATCATTCTTCGATATTGTACGTACGGCCACTTTCATGTAATACTTACAAGATGAAAAACAGACATCATTATGGGGTCTGATTGAGGTGAAAACATTGATAAATAGACCCCGTAATTTTTTTGACAAACCACCAAAGATTCACACAAATGTTCTGATTGCATACTATAGGAAAACATTTTGAATCCTATGTGAAATCTGTTTGAATTGTGGGTGACAAAAAATGATGATTGAACCCCATAATTTCTTCCCAAACCATCTAAGATTCACCCATTTTTCACATGCCCTTTCCCCAAGGTGCGCAAATGTTCTGATGGAATACTGTAAAAAATAAATGTTTGAATCCTAGGTGAATGTGGTTTGAATCTTGCGTAAAAAAAAAATCTGATAATTAGACCCCATACATTTTTTCAAATCATCTACGTTTCACCCAATATTCACATTACCTTCCCAAGATGCACAAATGTTCTGATGGAATACAATAGGAAAAAGAAGTTTGAAAATAATTTGATAATTAGAGCCCATATTTGTTTTTTTACATAACTATCTGTGATTTAACCAAGATTCAAATTTTCTGATGGAATCTTATAGTAAAAGTAGTTTGAATGTTAGGTGAAAACATTGATAAATAGACCCCCCATACATTTCTACCAAACCAGTACAGTATATCTGATTGCTCTATGGCAGGGGTAGGTAACTTTAGCATACCAGCTGTGGTGCAACTACAAATACCATTATGCTTCTGCCTCTAACAGTCATGCATGTGGCTGTCAGTATTGCAATGCCTCATGGGACTTGTAGTTCCACAACAGCTGGAATGTCGAGGTTGCCTACTCCCGATCTATGGCATGCTTCTGAATGATTTACCTTGAATCTTGTCCATTGCTGTAATCCCAATCCACTGTTATAGCAGCCACATAGTATTCCCTGACAAGTCCACTGACGGTTGGGGTGATGAGTAGCAGAGTGCCCACAACAAGTAACAGGACCGCTTGCATGGAGTGGCAGCACCTCTGATCCATCCTTACGCTGGCCATACACTGCTTGAATTTCTGCTGAGTTCAATGCATGCAGGCTGCTGTCCTAAATCTGTATAAACAGGCTGCTGATGCTTGCACAGCGATCAATAAGGCCGACCTCTTGTCCCAGGCATTGACATCATGACCAGGAGATGATGAGACACCCACTCAGGACAGCAAACTTCACTCCCTTATGTAAGAGGAACCTGCAGGGCACTGACGAAAGCTTCCCATTGTAGAGGAGTCGTGCACACATCAACGTCTGGGCTGCCACAAGCACAAACTTTACCTTTTCCTGAAAACTCTGCGAAGGGGGGCGACAGGCTTAACCATTAACTATGACAGTTCAACTCTGATCATTTCAAATCTTTTCTGTAAATATTATTTGCTCATTGACAGTAAAATATGTGAGTCAGTTGTTGGGAAATGACTAGAAATGAGGGAAAACAAAGGGAGGTGGAATCAGAAAGTGCAACGTTCCACTTCATTTCCTCAAAAATGATGTGCCCTGCCTACTATAGACAGCTGTCCAATTTATTATAATCACAGTTCATTTCTTATCAATTATACAAGGGCCGGACAAATCCCAGGAACCAGGTCGCCAATGCTCTTTAAAAGTTACAGTTGGCTCCTAACTTTTGAGGTTCATTTTAGTTGTTGTCAATGACGCTGGCTCCTAAAAAATCCAGCTGGCTCCTGAATAGGACACAATGGCTCATGAATTCCATATTAATTTGTCCACCCCTATAAGGGAAATAAGAGAAATCAAAGTGCAAGTCCAGCTCAACTTTTTCTTCTGGTTTTGGATAGAGTGGGGAAGATTTAGAACCCCTGACAGTTTTTTTTTACTGCTATTCAGGGAGATTTCCTGGTGACAACAAATTCACAACACAGGAAGTGAGGGACAATCCTATATATCAGAGTCCCCCTCTTTCACATCAGAAGCCCCTTATACATCATAGTCCCCATCTTTCACATCAGAAGCCCCCCTATATATCAGAGTCCCCCTCTTTCACATCAGAAGCCCCTTATACATCATAGTCCCCATCTTTCACATCAGAAGCCCCCTATACATCAGAGTCCCCCTCTTTCACATCAGAAGCCCCATATAAGTCATAGTCCCCATCTTTCACATCAGAAGCCCCCCTATATATATCAGAGTCCCCCTCTTTCACATCAGAAGCCCCCTATACATCAGAGCCCCCCTATTTCACATCAGAAGTCTCACTCTTTTGCAAAGTACTCATGAACTGTGACAAAATTAAATGAATCTTGTTCCAGCTCGGCATAAGTCAAAAATTGTACATGTCCAGGTGGAGCACACATTGTTATAGTAGTTAGTGCATCTTCCTTGCAGTACTGGGAGTCCCTGGTTCAAATCGTAGCCAGCTCACTATCTGCAAGGAGTTTGCATGTTCTCCCTGTGCTTGCAAGGGTTTGCTCTAGGTACTAGGCTTTCCTCCCACACTCCAAAGACATGCAATTGGCTTCTGTCTAAATTGGCCCTTGTATGTATGCATGAGACGTAGGGACCTTAGATTGTGAGCACCTTGAGTGCAGGGCCTCATGTGAATGTGTCACTATGTAAAGCGCTGCATAAATTGTTGGCACTATATAAATACCTGTATTAATAAATAAAATAAAAAGCGTGTCTACAGTGTATGCATATATAATTAGAGATATACATTACATATATATTGTAAAATGGCAGAATAGTATTTAAATAATATGAAGTCAAAATCCTTACAAAAGTCTTTTATATATGCAATTTCCATAAATGTATATCAAGTGAAGATTGCTTACATATATATGTAGATGGAGTCAGACCCTGACTTCTTATATGTCACAGATACTCCAACAGAGAGATCTCCCTGCCATAAGTCCTTGCCTCTTTTCCTGTCCATTTAAAGGGGATTTGTTTTATTACTGGAATTGGAGCACTATAGTGTATCTGTAAAAAAAAAATTGTTTATGTTTATGATTTTTTTTAACATAAACCTTACAAACATGGAACAAATGGTAGCTCATCAGGCATTTCCCAAATATTCTCTAGCACTGCGTGTTTATACTGAAGTATCATGGTTATACCAACAAAAAAAAAAGGCATTTTAAGTGACCAATTTACCATGAAATCACTGTACATTCCTGTGATAGTTTGGCCATTTACAATAGTACTTTTCCATGAGGGCGTTAAGCTGCTTACACTGGCTAAAGAACAATGGTGATGATCATTCTGTAGCCTGAGCCAGTATAAATGAGGTATTCAAAGTGAAGTTATATAAGAAAGGGTAATCTAAGTGCTTCTAGAACCAAAAAATTACTTGAGAATCTACAACCTTTAATTTAATTTTGGCTTGTAGCTATTATTTTACATCCCCTCTAAACAGTAGAGGAAGTATTACACCAGTGCAAAGTAGACTTTTTCTTTAAAGTGTATGTAAAGCCAAGACTTTTTTTTAGTAAGGGATAAAGTAAGAAATAGTTAAAGTGGACCTTTACCCCCTTTGACTAACAATCACATCAGCATGCAGTTCTGCTTGCTGATAGGAAATCATCTTACATTCATTAGCTAAACAAACATATTTTTATTTTACTTACAATTACTTGTTTTCTACTTCCTGGTTCTCTTTGGCAAAAGTGATGTAATTGTGCCCAAGCATTCAGGCCCGGATTCCCCACAAGGCCACGGAGGCCTGGCCTCAGGGCGGCAGGGCAACAGGCCAGCAGTGGCCCTACCGGAACGCTTTTCTGGAGACAGGAGGAAATGCCGGTCGTTTCTCATCTCCTGCGAACTACTGTTCTCTTTGAAACCCCGCACCTACTCATCGGACTATGCCAAGGTACGGACAGCCATCTACCTGCTCACAGGACCCCCACAGACCTGGGCCCATCAGCTCCTGCAAACTGATAATCCAGTACTGTCCTCTTGGAGCTGCTTTGTTTCCGCCATACAGGCGCTCTTTGATGACCTCCTGCGTGCCTCCACCTCTAGGGGCACTCTCCGTTCCCTTCGGCAAGTGGAGGACTACATTACGGAGTTCCGGGAGGTCGCCCCAGATACCGGACTCAATGAAGTGGCCCTTATCGACCATTTCCGGATCGGTCTGTCGGACCAGTTAAAAAACGAGCTCACCCGTATCGGGGTTCCGGAGGTCCTGGAAGGGCTGATGAGCACAGTTACCCAACTGGACGGAGGACGAAGAGGCAACACGCTCTGCCCCCTCCCGCACGGCGATCCGACCCTCTTCCGCTGCCAGTCCTCGTGCCATCCATCACAGTCGGGGACCTCGCCCCTGAAGAACCAATGCAGATCGGAGTAGTCAGGGGTACGCTCTCCACGGTCGAGAGGTCCAGAAGGCGGACTCTCAATCTCTGCCTCTACTGTGCTAAACCCGGTCATATGTTGAGAGACTGCCCCATCAAACCACCTACAGGTAGGACTGTCAGTTCTGCTGTGTTCCTGAACATGCCTGTCTACAACGGTTCTTCACATCTAACCCTATGTGTTTCCCTGCAGCTGAACGGAGCTGGCCTTGAACTTGCGGCCTTAATCGATTCGGGCGCAAGCAGCTGTTTTTTCGATCTCGAGCTTGCCAATCAGCTGGGACTACCCTTGCGCCCCAAGGAACACCCGCCCCGACTCCACATGGTGGACGGCAGTACGTTAAAAACCGGACCTATCTCCATGGAATCACACCCCATTGCCCTTTAAATTGGTCGCCACCACCGTGAAGAGATCTTATGGGACATTGTACCCCCTCCCCTGTTTCCAGTTATCCTGGGCATCCCATGGCTTCGGAAGCACAATCCCCAAATAGACTGGGCCATGGAACGCGTCACATTTCAGTCCTCCTACTGTGTCTCCCACTGCATCTCCTCTGCTCCTGGCCCTCTGTTGGCCCTGGCCTCATCTTCTCGGGTATTGCCCGCCAAATACGCGGATGTCTTCGAGAAGGCAGGGGCAGACGCCTTACCTTAATACAAAAAAGAAATAGACACCGGCACTCCAGTAATAAATCGATTACGTCTATTTATTGACGTACATCAAAAGCAAAATAACACACTTAGTGCGACGTTTCGGGGACACACAGGAACCCCTTCATCAGGCAAAACTTCATCAGGCAAAACTTGTTTTGCCTGATGAAGGGGTTCCTGTGTGTCCCCGAAACGTCGCACTAAGTGTGTTATTTTGCTTTTGATGTACGTCAATAAATAGACGTAATCGATTTATTACTGGAGTGCCGGTGTCTATTTCTTTTCTACATTACTTTGACGGTGGCCATCCGTCGACTACTGAGCACCCAGGATACTTTGTTGGACGTGCGGTCAGGAGTGCAATGGGTACATGGACTGTTACCTTAATACAAAACACAGAAAATCCCCAGCTCACCTGCCAGCTAGCCTGCAACCAAACAAATTGCCCTGTCAACAGTATGAGTTAAAATCAGGAGGTTTTAGTTGCACAAACTTTTGGCCAAAAATATGTAGAAGCCACACCAAGGCACCTCTGCGAGGTGTGGTCCTAACTCTATGTATATGAGTCTACAAGTGTGAGCATATTAATGCAGTCGATAAATTGCATGCAGGTGTACCAGGAGGTAGCCAACTCCTCCTAATAAGGTGCAGGGACGCACTGGAGGCCCAGCAACCAAAAATGCACGCTGGGACCCCAGTGCGTCCTCTCAACCAAAAATAGTCAAACTAGAAAAAACATGGTACCTGCATGAATCTATAACTAGCCTTTACGGCAGGGTGCACATTGGAGAGGCTTACAACAATACAAAACACAGAAAATCCCCAGCTCACCTGCCAGCTAGCCTGCAACCAAACAAATTGCCCTGTCAACAGTATGCGTTAAAATCAGACGCCTTACCTCCCCACAGACCCTACGACTGCCCCATTGACCTGCTCCCTGGGGCCCCTTTGCCGCATGGACGGCTATACAACTTGTCTGAGCCCGAGACCCGGGTGCTGAGGGAATACATAGAGGAGAGTCTGGCGAGGGGCTTCATCCGCCTGTCCACCTCCCCAGTCGGTGCAGGTATCTTTTTCGTGGGGAAGAAAGACGGGGGTCTTCAGCCCTGTGTGGACTACCATGCCCATAACAACATCACCAGGAAGAATAAATACTCTCTCCCTCTCATCCCTGATCTCCTGGACCGAGTGAAGGACGCCAGAGTGTTCACAAAGATCGACCTCTGGGGGGCCTACAAGCCCGTCCGGATCCGTGAGGGCGACGAGTGGAA